ATAGAGCTTATGTGGTAAATCCTGAATAAATATTCTACATGGAGAATGCCTGTATACCCCCCAATGCAACTGCTACAATAATGATATATAAACCAACTCACAGTTTTTATTCTAATACTTGTAGGGTTCCAAAGTCTTGGTGTTACCACTGTAGGTGCCTGGTTTAAGAATTAAGCATCTTATGGTGGACATCCTGAACTAGACATTTGACATTTGACATTCTGAAAGGTGTTCAGTGCAACATCCTGGAGACTGTCTGTCACAGGGCAGATAAACTGTAGACAGTGACGAAGTGCCAGATTCGTGCCCTGCCTTATCAACCTGCATCATTTCTGCTTTGAAGGTCTCACTTCACGGAAGAAAATGAAGGGAGGATAGGCAGTTTGCTTATTCATTCAACTTCTCATTTGTGATTGTTCACAAATATACTATCTGTTTGCTGTTGAACGTGACTGCATAGTAACCAGGAATCATTTTTAGCCCAGTCTGAACTTTATTCATAGAAGCATCGATGTCTGTTGGTGTCACTTCTGAAAAGTCAGAGCCCCAAAGGAGAATTTAAAGTAGGTTCGTGTAGATTATTCATTTCTAATATATCTTGATTCAGAAGGCAAGATGGAAGTGCTTACAAAATCAAAAGTCTCCTCAGAGTACAGAAATTACTGTACTGTACAGTAAAAAACCCAAACTCTGTCACACTTAAAATGTTTTAGTGAAAGTTTGAGATCCATCTGCACAAGCAGATGACAACAGCTGGTGTTCGAGGGCACGCAGCAGCGCAGTGATGAGATCCTCAACCAGTAGATGTCACTGGAGGGATCTCACTGGGTTTGCAAAGCCAAAAGTGACTTTTCAGTTTCTAGCTAGTGCTTTGATAAGAAAGGAAAGGAAGAAAGGCCTCATTTTCCAGCATCTTTTTCTTAAAATAATTCCTTCACAATTCAGGGAAAAGTTTTACTCCCCGCTATGTACCTGCTATCCAACTCCAGCATCTCTAGGGGAGTACATGATTTTTCTGGGGTCTGATTGAGTTTTAAATTCTGCTCTAATCTGAGAACAAGCCGGACCTATGAACTCTGTGAAACTCCATCATATAAACAGACGTACCCTTCCCAGTGTGCCGGCTGTTTAGTAAGCTGGTATCCTGGTTACATTTCAGCTATCATTCCTAAAAAGGATCAGCTCTCATGTAGTTTGTCTGTGCATCAGCAGCAGATCAAGGCCCTTGTAAACCCAAAGCAGCCTACTCCAGTCTCTGGTTTACCAGGACATTTACTTCCTGATAAGAACCTCCATAACAAAAAAAAAAAAAAAAAAAAAAAAAAAAAGCAAACAAAAAAATCTCCTCTGGCTTTGCATAAAGCATGTGCAAAACATGCACATGTATGACATTTAAGAATATACGTAGTGTAATATCGTATTAGACTGGTATCTGATCTTTTTGTAGTGGCCAGCACCAGATTCTTTAAGAAACCCCATACTGAATAATTGCAGTATAGCCACCAGTAAGACAAGTACCTTTCAAACCCAGCAGTCAGTGTTCACCTTAAAACCTGAACCTGGGATGATCATATTTATATAATATGATTTTAAATGTTTTCAGCAATGTGGTTTTTCCTTTTAGAAATTTGTACCGTCTTCAGCCTAAATAAATGTTTTGAGTGAATTCGACTGTTAATAATGCTACATAAGAAATATTGTTTTGTTTCTCCGTTCAAAGTATTTTATTTACTTCAAGGTTATTACCTTGTTCTTCCATCCCCAAATGGTAAATGCAGAAGTCTGATTTATCCTCTTTATTACACTCATGTTTCCTTTCTAAAGCAGTTTTAGAGAAGATGAGAAAAAAGCCCAAATAACTTGCTTATTCAATTGCTGTTTTTCCCAGGACTTTCAAGCAGCTTTTAGTCATTAAGACTGGATTCAATGAAAAGGTTAAATATGCATATAAATTTAAGTCTGTAAGTACTGCTTAATCATCTTCAGTACACTTATAAACAAGTATTTTAATGATTCAGAGCCTAATCTTCTTGTCTTTATTATTGTATCTCTGTACGTTGATAGAGTTTTACTCTTGTGACACTCTGACAGTAATTGCTGGTCTCTCAACGATTTGGGTCATACAGACCCAAGAATAAGACTCATCTAGTAGATGTCAACGGACCATGTTCACTCTGCAACCCAAACACCAAAACCAGGTGTAGGAAGGGATCACAGTGCAGAAATACCCACTTTCCACCTGGATGCAGTAAGGCTGGGTTCATGCAGCGCTGCACCCAAGTTTGGTCCCTACCAGGACTTCTTCCAGAGCTCTGCAGGAAGTCCTGCCTAGTCCTGCAGGTATGAGGACATTTGCTGAACCAAGCTCCGTTTTCCAGACTGCAGCTGACTTCCCACAGCAAAAGAGCATCCCACCACAGCCCCCTTTTCTATACTTCTCTATTTCTTTGGGTTGACATAGCACTTGGGGATATGGTGCAGTTGGGAATGGTCAATGTTGGGTTAGTAGTTGGACTAGGTGATCTTCGAGGTCTTTTCCAACTGAGATGAGCATTGTCCATTGTTGATACTTCTCATCTACCCACTAAAGCCCTAACGCAAAGCCTGGCCTTGCAGAACGATTGCAACACTTGCTCGGTTGTGAGAGAGCCAGGGCTGTAACAGATGTTTCATTACTCGTGGTACATGCTACTACATGCTGTGAGAAAGCTTATAAAAGAAGGATGTTTGTTTGATTTTGACTCACCACCATAAATGTTAATACTTTGTGTCACTTCAACTTGTTGCACAACTGGCCTGGTTAGGGATTTACTGTAAATGCATCAGCATTTTCAGAGCAGATCAGTAGGATGAGAGCCACTGCCAGCATTTTTTGAATTTTAAATCTCTAGGTGGTGCTCACATGGTTTAAGATCAGGAGATTAATTTTGTTATTGTTTTAAAATACCCCCCCCCTTTTTTTTTTTTTTTTTTTTTTTTTTTAAGATAATATTATTTCTGTAGGAAATTCAGTGTTTTAATAGCACGGGTCTCTCTGAGCTCCATTTTCCTGCTCCTTGAGCAGGCGAGGGCTGACAGGGAAGCAGGGCAGCTGTGTGCTCTGACTCAGATGTGCCCAACAGCCACACCTGGGCAGGAGAACTACCTTTATGGTTGGCTTGACTTCACCTGACCAGACTGAATGCCTCCCATCATTCCCTGATCTCAAGCGTTATTTAAAATTTGATAGAGAATATAAACGTTTCTTTGTTCTTATGAGCCAACTGAATCCACGGGTAGATAACGTCCAAGCCAAGTACTGTTACCACAGGGCCTGACATGCTATGGTGACTAACTCACTCAACCCTTTGCTTTGCTCCTGCATAGTGAAGAACACCAGGACATTTGCTGCCTTTGCTTTTTTTCCCCTATAAAAGAAGCCATCCTTTCTCCACAAGAGGTCATTCTCCATGTTTTGAGGGGTAGAAGGAGCTGTGGTTAATATGGATGTAAAATTTTATAGTTCACTGTGTGAAGGAGGCACCTTTTCCAGACAAGCTTCACCTAAAGCCACTTAAATATATATGTAGGTCAGATGAATGAATGGATGTGTTTCAGGAGTTTATCACCACTCATACACCAACACAAGTAAATTC